ACGACTACTACTTACGTACCTACACTACGCGTACGTACCGTACCCCCGTACCCCTCCCTTACCCCTACCCTACCTACCTTCCTCTACTTACTTACCTTACTACCTACTACTACTCTCTCTCTCTCTCTCTCTCTCTCTCTCTCTCTCTCTCTCTCTCTCTCTCTATATGCTTGCAGAAGCATATTTCTCTAGGAATTCTGAAATGAATTGGCTTTTAGTGCAGAGACCAACCAATTGAGAAACAGTACCAATGCCCACAGCAGCAACCAGGGTTTGCAACTTGGAGTTTGAAAGTTGAACGTGTAATTTACAAAAATAAATTCCATAACATACAAGCTGCTGCCATATTACATTATGGAAACTGTAGTGAAGCAGAGCAATTGCAAAGCTAAAGCTTCACCATGTCCTACCGTAATTCCTTTTCATTTCACTTAAGCTTGATACAATTGATCTTTGTCTCTAATCCCCTCTCTTTGACCATATGCACCATTACAGAAACCTTTGCAGGTTGTAACTTTCTTTGCCTCTGGATCAACTTTTTTTTCCTTCAGAATCTAGAGGGCATTTGAGCAGCCGCATGCCCAATCACATGTAAGAACCCAAACAAGGGAAAATAAGGACACCACATTTTCATCAAACACTAGAGCTTCTTTCATGCCTGACGACTGAAATTTGAATCCTCATTTTGGGTTCTCTATTTCACTTCCCAATTAAAAATGAGATTCTTTGTATTTAATGATTATTTGGTTTTTGAATCCAAAATAAACATTAATCATATCACTTAACAGACTTTATTCCCGAGCTGGAGTACCCTAGTTAAGTGCACTTGGTAAGCCTCGATTCTAAGCTGAACGGATCTCAATCCCATACACATTACCATTCGATCCTAGACAAATTTGGAATGCTCTCCCTTCATATTGAGATCATGATCCCTTTAACTCATGGTGTATGGATATCAATCCCTATCCGATAGATCTTCCTACATCTCTCGATCCCGATCCGAGATCTGACCTTGCTATTGTTCCCAGGTAACTATGACCCATACTTTTATTAATATCAATGGTAGGTGGCCAAAGCAAGAAAAAACAAATTATCTATACTGAAAGACATGGATTGGCAGATCTGTCAGCGACACTTCAACTTCCATGAAGCCTTCTCTTCGTGTTTGCTTGGAAGCATATGTATTTGTCACAACTAAGGTATATAGATGACTTTCAAATGTCATCAATTATAATCAGGTCATAATTTGTATACAACCATATGTCAAAATGATATATGCATCAATTTCTTGCACATATGTGAATGTATAAGAATATTAAAATCCTGCAACAAGCACAATGGATATTTAACCTCTTCCTAGCACAGACAACTCAAAGCCCACAAAACTACCTCAATGATATGATTCTAGCTTTCATCAGTTCATCAATTTCCCCCCATAAGTGACATAGCATCCAGCAGGTGTGAATCTAACTCATCTCCATCTTGGAAGCCACATGTAAACTCAAGCAAATTCAATCATTCCCAATAAAAAAATTTATCATTAACTTTAAACCAAAGTAATAGCCACTTCAAGCTTACCATAAATTTCAAAATAGAGGTTTTGGATTACTCTTTAGTCTTTACAAATTACCTAATGACCAAAGATCAGTTTCAAATCTAGTTGGCCCAGTTCATTGACTCAATTTTTTCTCTAACAAGAAATGCAAACACAAAAATGAACATTCAAATCAACATATATACAAACATGTAGACAAGAACTAATACAAACATGTAGACAAGAACTAATACAAATGCATATATCATGGATTGTTGCAAATTATACCATCAAGTTCTCGACAGAAATAAGAGAGGAAAAAAGTATCCAACAACATTGGCAATGTATACATAACACAAAAGTTTGAACAGACCGTGCTTCTAGTCAGTTCCATCGCATCCTTTATTGTGTAGCCCGCACCACCAGGATCACCCTCAGTTCGCAAAAAGTCACGCTCTGTAACATTTCCAATATTATATAGAAAGCTATTTGCGATAGTACCTACCAAATAATTATAAAAAAAAATTATTTTTATAAAAATAATGGAGGGCAAAATTCTTCTTATTGGCATTTTTATTCAATTTCAAGGATGTATATTGCAATTTTAGTTTTAGGGTTTATTTTTAGAATTTTTAGTTTTTAGGAATTCTACGGTTTTGTAATTTCTTTTATTTATTTCATTGCTGGGCCAATTAAAGACTTTTTAGATATTTTAATTAAAATTAGGGAGTTTAGTTTCAAGTTATACTTAAGTTAAGACCTTTTGGTCAAAAGTTAATTGTATGAACAAATATTGTCCAAAACAATAATTTTCCAATATAAATAAGGGCATAGATGGGATGAAGAGTCATTCATGTATTTCTCTTTAAGAAAAGAAAGACTTTGTCTTGTAAGAGAAGCCTACGGCTTGCGCCCCAAGTGGGAGAAAGCCTTAGGGTTACTCTAAAATTGCTTGTGTTTGGCTTGTTTCTTACTAATTTTATTGTTCCTCAATTTTCCCTGCATCAATATTATTTACCAACAAAAGTAAAGATAACAAACAAAAATATACAAAACCATTAAAAACAATACATATGAGAAATTAGAACAATAAGTCAATAGAAACACATTATATTTGTTAACTGCATCTTTGCTTATCAAGAAGGAAAAACTAACGAGAAGAATAAAGCTATGAACAAAGTTCTCCTTTAGTATCATATCATCAGAAAGATATATAAAATAAAGTTATCACGCAATAAAGTGCCAACATTGTGCACTGTACCATGTTACTGTGTCTAAAAAAGGAAAAATAGAACGACAACCAGAGAACATAGACTTGAGAACAATTTGTGGGTGTTACAAAGTCCACCACTAGGAATGCAATTCTATGAGTACTATATTGACGATCTTACAAGGATAAAAATCAGTAGTTTTCCATTTACTGATCTCTATCTTTCGCAAAATTGATCCCCCTTGACTGTACAAGAATATGTGGAGCTGAGCATGTCTGGAAGTACGGGAGAATGTTCTTTTGCTGATATTATTACCAGTATTCGATACTAGGTTATTCATAGCATTACTATACCTTCCCTATTCATTGCAAGTTGGTTATTCATCAGCACAGGCTTAGCTTACGATGTGTTTGGAAGCCCTTGACTGAACGAGTATTTCACAGAGAGCCGACAAGGGATTCCATTAATAACTGGCTGTTTCGATTCATTGGAACAACTTGATGAATTTAGTAGATCCTTTTAGGAGGTCCCAACGACCATAGATAGAACCTATCCGATTTTTACAGTGAGATGGTTGGCTGTTCACGAACTAGCCAACCATCCGATTTTAAATCATGTAATACCAAGGATTACATTATATCTAAAATGAAACGGATAATATTATGAAAATCTCATCTTCTAACATTGTGACAACCTTAGCAAAGAAATTGACGCAAGCAAAAGGCAGGCAAAAAACACTATAGGTAAGAGAAAGTATCCAACTAAGACTTAAAAATGTATGAATAGTACAATAGTAGGAAAAGACCAATAAGGAACCAAAACAGCTTGTCAAGATAGTACTCTATTATTAATTTAAGATGCCGTAGTTGGAATTTGGACACAAATTTCCTAGATGTTAAATCATGAACAGTGCAGATACCATCACCTAGGCCCACCCAAGCTTATTGAATTTTGTAACTCATTTACAAGGCAAAAAAGTCAAAGCTCTCATCGCATTCAAGTTGAAGCTATGAGTTCTACGCACATACATACATTTGGAATGATAAATATACTGTCAATGGTAAGCATATTAATGATGCGGCATTTAAGAAAGGAAGAGTTTTGTATAAGGTTGCCTCCTAGTACTGTAGAAGTAAGCTCACCCCAAAATTTTGCTTAGAGATGTCCCAATGTTGGAAACTTTATCATGGTTTGAAAATCTATTTTCATCCCTAGTTATAAAATTTAAAATTTCAAAAATGGTATAGATAGAGCAGATCAATAAACACTTGACAATCTTGAAATTAGATGTTCCAGATAAGTTGCTACTAGATGCAATGTTTTTTGGACTTGTAATTCTTTTTTTTCTTATGTACATACATCTCGAGGTCGAGATAATCAATTGGAGGGTCTTCAACACTGGAACACTCTCTTCTATAAAAGTTTTGAGGTGCACCTTACTTCAATAGTATAACATTACAACCTTATATAAACTTTTTCCTTTAAGAAATAAATAAGAAACTAGTGATTGCTAGAGTTCAATGAGTCAAAAGTCAGAGTGCTTTCAGACACTACAGTTAGCAAAAAGTTTCAGAATTACACACGTCATGCCCGATGTGTTAAGCTGCCAAAGGCCTACTAAAACTTAACTTTAGTCAATAGGAAACCAATGCGAATACGAATACTCTTGTCATTTTCCATTACAACAAATGGATATGGACACTCTGGAGCTTAAGAAAAGTAAGGAAACTTACACTTCTGCAAGTGTTAATCATTTGGTTTTGAACTGCAAGGGGTTTTTGATCAGAAGGTGTAGATCCAATTCATATGTACCACTTGAGCTGCACCAAGTGCTAATGAGGGACCCTATAGGGAGGGTCTAAACACATGGAACTTAATTTTTTCCTCATCATATTTGTGAGGCACACCATGTCAGTTGGACGTTCTTCATGTACTCCACTGTATTCATTCTATTTTTAAAAATATTACAATAGGTGGGACCCTCATGAAACCCCCACCCCACTCATTTTTTTTGCTTTGAGAATGGTTAACTTTTGCATTGCTATAAAGAGTTGGAGTACAGTTGTGGGGTAATCCGAGAGTACCCACTAGATGGGTCTCTCGGTAAAAAATAAGTCATCAGACCCTGTACAAAAAATGGGCTTATAGATCTACTCGATTACAATCGATTTACAATGGGGCTACAAAAAATGGGCTTATAGGTTTGCCCGTTTACAAAGAGATGCTCTACTTCGTGTACCCTCTGTGGTCCAGAGCAAAAAAGAAGATGGATTGGGTTTGGTCTTGTACTTGGGCCCTAGCCCCATCCTTCGCCAGGAGATCGGCGAACTCGTTTGACGTCCTCGAGATATGCTTCCAGAAGACGACCATATCCCTGCAAATGTAAGCAATCTCATCAAAGATCGAAGCGGGGTACCATGGAGGTGTTGACCTCCCGGTTACCCATGAAATAATATCATATGCGTCTCCCTCCACTATAAGGTGTCGTCCCCAAGACTGATTGAAGCATTTGAGGCCCAACAGCAAGGCCATGGCTTTGGCATATTGAGAGTCTATGTGGCCTAGGTGCCCGGAGTAGGCGAACAAAATATTGCGATGATGGTCTCTGAAGACACCACTAGCACCTGCAGGGCCGGGATTCCCCAGAGAACACCCATCAAAGTTAAGCTTGATGGTACCTTCTGGAGGTCGCAGCCAGTTGGTTGTTCTTTGTACCTTTCGTGGTTGGTGGTACAAGATGTTTTCCCATTGGCTAAGAAAAGTATTCGCAGAGATACCCGAAAAGATCCTGTGGTTGGAGGCCCAAAAAGTTACTAAGGACGTAAACTTGTGAAAAGTGCTGAGCCTTGAATATTATGGCTTTGGAATATCCTAGCGTTTCCTTCTACCCAAATCACCCACATGGTGGCTGCCACAGCAGCCTTCCATAACGTTCGTCCAGCCTTCGACCAATGTGATGCGTGGTCCGAGGATATAAGGTCCTTGACCGTCAGAGGTATAACCCATTGGAAGCCAAACAACTGCAATATTTGACCCCAAAGGTTGTAGGCTAGGTTACAGTGAATGGAGAGGTGAGGATTCAATTCCTCCTCGGTCAAACACATGGCACATCTGTTGGGGATTGGAACCCCTTTCTTTTGAAGCTGGTCAACTGTGAGTGCCCTTTGGGAGCACACTATCCAATTGAAAGTCTGCACTTTAGGAGGGGTTATAGTGGACCAGACATTGGATAGGACAGAGGATGGGTTAAGAGGTCCCTTAGTGGCGTGTGTCCTAGCCAAAGATCTGACCAGAAGCGCACTCTTGTTCCTTTTCTTTAATGAAACCTGATGAATATTTTTAATAGTGAGAGGGAGGAGGTGAACAACTTCCACGCTCCTGAGGCCCTGTTCAGAGGTCTCCTCTCAGACACCCAAGTTCCTTCAAAAATCCTATATTTAATGCGTAGGACCTGAGCCCATAGGGAATCAGTCTGAGTGGCTAGGCGCCACCACCATTTCCCTAAAAGGGTCAGGTTATGTTTTCTTAGGATCCTGATTCCTAGCCCTCCCTGGTGCTGGGGTAAGCAGACTTTATCTCAAGAGATTAAATGGTATTTTGTTCTCTCGGCATATCCCGACCAAAGAAAATTCCTCATTAATTGTTCTAGGCGGTTGGCAACTGAGGTTGGCATGTGGAAAAGAGACATGAGGTATACAGGAGCTTTAGCCAGAGTTGCTTTGATCAAAGTGGTACGGCTAGCCTGAGAAAGGTATCTCCCTTTCCATCCTACCAGGCGCCTATCAACCTTGTCTATTATGTGAGACCATTGTCTCTTTTTAGGTTTTCCCAATCCGAGAGGCAGACCAAGGTATGTTGTGGGTAGATCCTCAACTTTGCATTCCCAATTTGGGATAAGCTCTCTGATTTCAGCATTGGCGAGTGCCACCCCATCATTTTAATTTTTCCATGTTGACTTTGAAACCTGTAGCCACTTGGAAACATTTGAGATAAAACCTCAAATTCTCAATTTCTTGTGAAGAAGCGTCCAAGAACACCAAAGTGTCATTTGCGTATTGCAAATGAGACACTGTTGGACCTCGGTGACAAGTTTAGAAGCCCTTGAGGAGGCCTGCCTGGTACAAGTGGGAGATAGATCGGCTGAAGACTGATGTTGTAATAGCGAAAAGGAAAGGGGAGAGAGTGGGTACCCCTAGCATAGCCTCCTCGAGGAAGGGAAGAAGCCTTTTGGGGTTCCATTGATGAGGATCGAGAAATGAGGATGAGAGTAGCAACCTCTCATCCATTTTCACCAGCAGTCTCGAAACCCCATTCTTGCTATTGACTCATCCAGAATGGACCAATCAACATGGTCATACGCTTTCTCTCAGTCAATCTTCAAGATTAGACCGAGCTTCTTGGACAAATGCCTAGAGTGAATGCACTCATGTGCTACAAAAGCTCTGTCTAGGATTTGCCTATCTTTGATGAAGGTAGTTTGTGACGGAGATGATAGAAGGAAGGACTTATTGTATTCTAGAAGCTAACACCTTGGCCAGAATTTTGTAGGAGGAGTTGAGCAAACTGATTGGGCAGAAGTCCTTTAGCTCCTCAAACCCTTCTACCTTGGGAACTAAGGCAATGAATGTAGCATTGATGGCGTTGTGAAGAACTCCCCGATGAAAAAATTCCTCGAAGAAAATCATGAAGACTGAGCGGAAGGTTTCCCAGAAGATTTTGAAAGGTGCTATAGGGAACCCATTCGGACCGGGGGCTTTGTCTTTGGCTAAGTCGTCTAAAGCATTTAGGATTTCCTCTTCAAAGAAAGGTCACTCGAGCGAAAGAGCCTGGTCTTCTGTAAGAATTAAGAAATCAAGGTCGGTTATTTTTGGTCTGGGATCCAAAGGGGCAACGTAAAGGGTTCGGAAGAAGTCTAGAATGGCCGATTTGATTTCCCCAGGTTGTACCAAATAGTGATTATTTGACTTGATTGTCGAAATAGTATTGTCTCTCCTGCGACAATTTGCTATCTGGTGGAAGAAACTTGCATTTTGATCCCTGCTTTTAGCAAATTAACTCTAGACCTCTGGAACCAATATAATTCTTTTTTGAGGGTGGAGAAGTATTCCAACTTTGTTTGGGTTCTCAGGTTCGACTCAGTGTCTATCAGAGGTCAGGACTCCCCAATACGGTCAAGGTCTTGGATGGACCTAAGTAGAGAGGACTTGATAAGGGAGTAATTACCGGGGATGGACTTACTTCAGGTCTTTAGGGAGGCTTTGAGAAGTTGAATTTTGGTTTGGAGCCTATAACCAGCTCTTCCCGAAACCTGACCGGAGAAAGAGTTCCACCAAATAAGAATCGGAGTGGGTAAAGACTCCTCTTGAAGCCAAGCTAATTCAAATCTAAAAGGCTTCGATCCTCTTCTGATAGCTTAGGTGTCTAGAAGGATAGGGCAATGGTCAAAGGTTGGTTTAGGCAGCGCCATAGCATGAGAGCCCGGAAAGAGTTCCTCCCAATTCAGGGATAGGAGGAATTTATTTAGTTTAGAGAGAGTAGGTTGGGGAGAGTGATTGGACCAAGTAAAGAGTGGTTGAAAAATGAAATCCAAGAAGTCCGTCATTCCCCAGGAGATGATAGGGTTGGAGTTTCTCTCATGAGACCATCTCGTGATGTTGAAATCTCCACCCAAACACCATACATGGTGGGGTAGAGCGGCGACACAGTCCAGTTCTGCCCAGAGACGTGGTCTGAGAGAAGTTGAGCAAGGGCCGTAAATGGCCGAGAATTTCCACAGGAAGCCATCTAAAGTACGTGAAAGAAGAACGGTGACGGAGAACTCCCCTATATGGGAGGAGAGGAGGAGGTGATATGATGGGTCCCAGATCACCCATATACCACTTGAAGCCCCGTCCGCAGGAAGAGCGACCCATTGGCAAGGCCTTCTACTCCAAACCTGGCAAATTAGATGGAGAGTGGGCTCGGGTAGTTTGGTTTCTGTGAGGCCTAAAATCGCAGGAAGATTTTTCGAGGTCAAGTCCTTGACTACCTCCCTTTTGGACAATTGTCCCAAACCTCTTACGTTCCATGTATCTTCATGATTTGGAGGTGGGAGCTGAGGAAGAGGCTAATCTGGCAGACCTCCTCAAGGAGGGAGAGGAGGTTGGGAATGGGGGGCCTTCTAATGGAATTCCCTCATAGGAGATTGAGGAGAACAGATTGAGTCCCTTTGTCCTCTAAAACTGACCTTCAGTCGGCTCAAGCCCAAGCAAGCTCAGGCCCAGCAAGGCCCTTGAATACCTGCCTTGCATTTGCTATAGGTGATATCATCAGTTGATAATATTCATCATTTGTTACATTGAATGGAATTGCAGTGTCATGACACCAAAGTGCTCCTGCCTTCAGAATTTTTTTCTTGATCTGCTCTACTTCGGGCCTATACATAAGGAGCCATTCGACCCTAGGTAGGCTCAGTGAAGGCCACCGATAGGGCAGTTTAGCTTAGGGCTGGAAGGGTTTAGAAGCTGTAGAAGGCCCTCGCCTCTCAACAAAGGTGGAAGCCTTGAAGAGTCCTAGGCCTCCTAGGTGTATTCCTCCCACACAAAGTACCACTAGTTCAGGAGCAACCAAATGATTGCTTCTCATGAGGACCCCACCCCATGTTGGCTTGTCATCTAGAACACATGTCTTCTAGACTGGTCCTCCTTGCATGCCCAAATCTGGCTTTGAAATATTCCTCGCAAGAGGTTACATAATAGTCTCTGCGCAGCTCCTCAGTTGCCCTCTAACTTCACACCATCTTTCCTTTCACTACCTATTGAATTGCCCCATCTGTTGCTTCAATTAGGCAGGGCACACTTGGACAAGGCAACGAGTTACCCAAAACTATGGCGAGGCAATGTTTTAGGCAATTAATATCGCCCTACATCCCCTTCCCATATATGCACCACACGCACCCTTTCGCAGATCCAGTCTCACCCGATACTGCCATGATGGATCTTATAAGCCCCCTCATCATCAACATAATTAAGCCTACAAAAGCATTAATTACTACTTTGTTTGAGGGAAAATATTACTCTACAGGCAAAGTAAGCATGCTAAAGACATAAAAAGAATTGATTTATTACATTTTCCAAGAGGAAAAATTACTTTAAAAATAATTTAGGCCCACAAGAAGCATAAAAAATCCCATTAGCAACATTAACTTTAAGAGAAAACCTCAATAGCATCACTAAGTTATAGCATCCATAGAAATATCTTTTTTCCTTTTAGAATCATAGAAATATCTTTTTATGCATCAAAATATGAAGAAAAATGTAGATTTACAGAATTTTTTAGAGAAAATATTATTTTCAAAATATCCCAAGCATATAAGAGACATTAAAAATTAAAATCAAACTAATTCAAATCATCAAAGTTAAAAACAAAAACTAGATTGTAACAATAATAAAGCTTATCTCGGTATACATGTAAAAAGTATCTCCGTATACACAAAAAAAAGTTGAATCTTACTGTTGTTTTAAGAAAATACAATAAGTCAATATAACTAGAGCTAATGATAATTGTCCAAAAAACTTTTTTATATGAATTTAAGTTGAAAAATAAAATCCATTTTTGCTTATCCGAAGTTTTGAAGCTGATCTTCCAATTATTGTGCCTAGTGCAAATCAATGCCTCCAGTCTTTGTGAAAAGGGCCTCCAATACCCCAAATCGAAACCCCACAACTAGATTTTGGATTTGAGTTCAAATCTAGTTTATCAAACTCTTGAAAGTTTTGGCCAAATGATGCTTCAGTGTCCCAAATCTTGCAGATCTGAGATTTTGTGTGGTTTTCTCTGAAAACTAAGCCTTTCATTCCATAAAGAACTTAAAAGCACGCCTCAGGAAGAAATTTCCGGCAAGATAGCACTAGGATTGCAAAAATTTCGCGAGTTTTCCAACTTCAGATGAACCCTAATTTGAAACTCAAAATCCCACAAATCTAAGATTTTTTTCTCTCAATTTTGATTTTTGAGATCATTAGAGGATGCAAACAGGACACCAAGGGGTGAAACTTCAGAGAAAACAAGCTCAAAATTACAACAAATTGGAAGAAAGAGGGATCAATTCCCTACCCCCCACCACCCCCTCCCCACTGTTAGAACTTCTCGAGTGACTACAGTAACTCGCGTGAGCTGATCTAAGTACCCTTCCTTAACAAGTTGGGGGTTTTGGGCTGGGCAGGCTGCCAAGACCAAGAAACTTAGGCATGTCTGAGTCAGACTCATGAGCTCTAGAATGATGCTCCAAAATATTTATCTAAGGTTTCAATTACTACATGGTACATCCTATTGTTTTACTCCGAAGAGCAGGGCGCAATGAGTATGTCCTTCTATTCTTGTAGCATTATGTGCTTACTTTCCATCAATCATATCCTATTTACAGAAAAATGCATCACTTGTATCAAAAATTCATTGTTTAGGAAAAGATGCCTTATTGGGTTTGGAGACAACCGGTTCATTACGTTATAATCAGAAAAACCAAAAAGTCTTATCAGGTTCAAGAACAACCAAGAAAGGCTTGAAAGAATCAAAACAATAATCCCAAGATCCAAACTCACATATAGAAATGTGTGTCCGATAAGACATTACTAGAGATCTTAGAGATATGCAAAGGAATCTATGAAATAAATGGAAAAACAGCAATTTTATTAGGTTTGGGAACAGCCATGACAGATGTCAAGGAGCCATATCTCACTAAAAGAACCATATCTCACTAAAAGACAAATGATAGACTACAATAATCCCAAGATCCAAAACTACATGAAGAGAACTGCATTCAATAAGATTATAAGACACTATAAATGGTCATAAAGATATGCTCAGGAACCTAAAATGACAAAAAAGGGAAGATTTTCTATGAACGTAATCTGTACTCAAAAACGTCATACAACAAGCAAGTGTATCCAAGACAAATGGAGCACATAGAAAAATGGAGCACATACTATTTGTTTCTGTAGGTAGCTGAGTGGGATATTCTCTCACAACAGTCCCATGCAATGAAAATCTTAAAGCCCTAACAGCCTCAACTCTATCAGACCAAGATTTCCATGAGCTGCTACCAACCACTGGTCTGCTCACCATAGGCGTGGATGATTTTAAATCCATCTCATCATATCTATTTTTATCCTCTTTTTTTTCATCTGCTGATGAAGGTTTTCGAAGGCTATCATCTTCTCCACATTTGACAGCACTAGATGAACTATTTGAAATTTTACTCAAATCATTACCACCAGACAGAGCATCAGGAGAAGAGGAGGCATTCTGGAGTGGTAGGTTCCCACTTTCCTTTTCCAACTTCTTTCTTCCACGCTCCTTTAGCTTCTCCAATAAAGAGGGTTTTATTTGTTTCGTGATTTCCGCCTGTGCTTCCTCAATCTCTTCACGTGACATTCTTTGCAATAGGGCACGATTTTCAGCATCAATGTCCGTGGATGACAGTGGGCCTTCCTCTTCAGGTTTAAAGTTTCTTCCCTCAAGAACTAATTTGTTGGCCCCAATATCTTTAGGGGCTCTACTGAAAACATGAGATGAATCTATAGAAGAATGTTTAATATCTTCCAATGAGCTAGATATCCTATTATCATGTGAAACAAGTTGAGTAGAATCTCTAGAATTTGATGGCATGTCACTTTCCATATTTTCATGAGGACATGAATCCCATCGATTTTCAGTCTTACGTGGTGCAGTTTCAACGTCGACATCCATCCTTTCAGCTTTGAAGTTACTTGTTTCAGTAATTAGGAGGCCACCCCCAGTATCTTTAGATGCTCCATTGAGAACATCTGATGAAATAATATGACTTTGTTCCATATCTTCTACTTGATTTGAGATTCTACTGCCATTTGAAACAAGACTGCTTCTGTCTTCTCCTTTCCTTTTTCCAACAAGAGTCTGTAAATAATTTGGATTCATTTTTTTGTGCACAAGATCTTCAGGCAGCAATTCTCTCCACTTGCTGAAGTCCAAATCTTTCTTTGGTTTTCGTTTTAATGGCTTTGCAAATGCGGATTGATGATCTAAATTCATGTCGGCTTCATCATTTGCAGGCTCCTCCTCACGGCCCTCATGACTTAGTGGTGCCCAATGCTGTCAGAAAAAAATATATCGCATCAACAATAAGTGAATTGCAAAGGAATATCTCATGAAAATGAAGCAAGACACAATAACAACTACAAAGACAGTGGCCTTTGTTTACTTTGATACAAGCAATGGAATGACCCCAAGAGGATCAGAGAGCATCAAAAAGGCAAAGACTGTTTCTAAAAGCCAGTGGAGCCGGTCAAGTAGCCCAAGAAAAGACAACAAATCATGAGGGCCCTTAGTTGGGCCCTTAGTATGAAAATAGTTCCCTTATGGAAAGTATGAAAATAGTTCCCTTAGTTGGGAAAAACATATTCTGTTAATGCTCAAATATATATAAATATATATATATATATATATATATATATATAT